GGTCGCCGGTGTTCGTGGTGAGCAGCGGAGATGGCTGGCGATGGTGGTGCTGTGGTGGCATTGATCGCTGGATCGGAGGAGAGGGATGAGAACGACGAAAAAGGCTGGATCGGATGGCAAATGGGTAGGGGGCTGATAATCACATTTTATTATAATTTTATACTCTCATTATCTATTTTATATGAATAAATATACCACTAATAATTGTTTTTATCTTTTAATTGCAGATTAATGAAGAATAAATCTTAACTTCCCATCTCTCAACGAAAACCCATTGACTAAATGAAGAAATGATTCAAGAAGCCAAAGTGAAATTTTTGACTTTTTGAAGACCCAAAGCAGAAAGATTACACCAAGGGAAGAGTTGATTTTTCATTTTCCTTTTGGACTTATTTGCTAAAGTTACAAATGAGAACCGGACCTTTTAGACTTATTTGCTAAAGTTACAAATGAGAACCGGACTTGGACAATTTAAATGGCTGCAGACATGCTACAGGGGCCGGATTTGCTTATCTTCATTTTGGAAAATCACAAGTAGCTGCACCTTTGAGTTTTAATCACATGGGAAGCATCAATTGGGCCGACCTGCAAAGAAGATATGCTGCAGACTAGGCTTTTGAAATTTCGAAAATCATGATGTGGGCCGGCTACGAATTTCTTCACTAAACTTGATTTAATGGACTGGACTTGGCTGGTTGATTTTCAAATGAAATAACTTGGACTGATGGAATTCCTATGGGCCGGAGACTTTGCTGCAGAAGTGGACCGGGTTTGGAATGAATTGGTGTGCAGACACAAGGAAATATGGACTTGGCTTTGTTTTTCACATGCGTACACGAATCATCCGCTGCAGATTTTGAATGGGCTGAATTTTGATTTTCTTTTAAAAATCCAAAAATCAAATGAAGATTGGGCTAGAAAAGAACAAAAAGCAAATTCAAAGGTGGAGATTATTGCTTGGGGCTCAAGACAAATCCAATGGCTCATATTCATTGAAGATTACTATAAATAGGGGTAGAGAGTGAGGGGTTAAGGGTGTGAAAATTTTGTAAACTCCTTTTGGAGAGGAGGGCTACTCTTAATTGAGAAGGCCTTCCAAAAATTATAACTTTAGTTGTAATTAATAAAAATAATTTTTTCCTCTTTAAATTTGTTCTTTCTCCTCTTGTTGAATGACGAGGATGGAGATGAAGAGCAAGTTGAAGGTTTGCATTTCTTTTCTCTTTTATTTCTTTTTAATAATTTCTTTATTATTGTTTATTAGTTAGATTTAAATTCATGCTTGTAGTGTAGATTTACTTTCTTGTCTTTTTTATTTTCTTTTTGCACTTTAATTTGTAGAGTAGATTTATTTTTCTTGCATTTAATTTCTGCAATTTATTTTGTAGTTTAGATTTTTATTTTCTTTGTAATTAGATTTATTTCTTGTTCATAGTTTAGATTTTTCTTTTCTTTTTAATTTTGTAATTAGTTCTTTTTCTTGTTTTTTTATTTCTTAAAATGTGAATTTAATTCTTGTAGGAAGTTTAGAATTATATGAAACTAGTCTAATTTCCTTTATATTGTATGAATTATTCTCTTGCACTTAAAATGTTCATGTTTAGGATAATCAACTAGAGAACTAATCGGTAGAAGAAGAATTTGATAATCTATGCTTATCTTAAATGGTTTGATAGGTTATGCTTATGAATTCTAGGATTATTATCATGTTGTTGTTCTTATCATGAATAGTAATTTTAACTTAGATGATAATTTGATAGGTTACACTTTCCTTAAATGGTTTGATAATCTATGCTTAATAAATCTAAGTTGAAATATGATAAAAAGAGAATAGTTTATATTTTGTAATTGAAATTGGTTAGTGGATTATATTCTAGATTTCTTACCTCTTTTGAATCCTCCATCTTGACTTTCTTAAATTTTCTTTTCATTCTTAGTTTTATTTCTTGATTTTATTAATTCATATTTCTTGCCTTGTGATTTCATTTATTCTTTGATTCTTTCTTCTCTAAAATTCAATTTATTATTTTTTGCATATATTCACAACAATCACTCATCACAATCACACTTATTCTTTATTCCTAATTGTCATGCACAAAACATAAGAACCATTTCTAATAATCTCTTAAAATCACCTTCCTCGTGGGATCGATATTTTTATACTATAACTTGATAAATTGTGCACTTACAATTTTGGTACATAATTATGCTGCATCAAGTTTTTGGCGCTGTTGCCGGGGAAGGTGCTAAAATAGGATTTTATTAACTTGATTCTTTAACTTGTGTATTTTTCTTGTGAAGGAACCGCTTGGAGCTTGAAAATCTTAGATTGAAGATCAAGAATTTGGAGCATTGCTTTCGGGTAAGTCTTCTTTCTAGTTTTCAATTCCACCCTCTTTAGCTAGCTTCACAATTAGAGACAATTAGGATTTAAAAAAAAAAGATTTTATTTTTGTTGACCATAATAAAATTCATCTTTCACTTGGACATTAACTAACAAGATAATAAATTTAAACATGAGCCACCTTCTCACTTTTGATTGTTGTTGACCATAATTAAAAAAATATAAAGATTTTCTTTTTACCATCCTTTTTAGTCGCTTTTAATTTCTAGGGTTGCATTTCATTTAGTGTAGGAATTCACCAAAGTGATTGTTGTACTTGATTTGGCACATACTTAAAACATTCTTAAGGGCAAAATCCCAATCAAGATAAGGTAAGGGATTTCATCACCCTTTCCTTAGCCCACAAATCACTAATTCCTCACTTCACAAACCCAAGCCTTCTAAAACTCATTAGACATTGGCCCCTAAGGATTCGAGCTCAATAAGGAACAAGAAATCCTTAAGTGAACGGTTTAAGTTTTCTCAGAATAGTTGGTGTCTAAGGAAAGGTTTAGGGGTTGCGTAAAGCGCTCCGCAAGGAAAGAGGTACTTAATTGATCTTTGATCACCCTTTAGTACTATCCTTACCTGGCTAACTACCTGGGTAAAACTTTGATCTTTTCACTGTAGGAATTTTTTGGTTAGGAGCTGGTCTAGTGGAGTTAGGCTAAACCCTGGAGTTAGAGTTGATTGAAAAGTGATTGCCTTGATTTGTTTTAGTTAGGATTTTTCTTTTTCTTTATCTTCTCATAAAAAAAAACTAATTTTCTTTCTTTTCTTAAAAGAAAAAAAAACTAATTTTCTTTCTTTCCTTAAAAAAAAACTAATTTTTTTCCTTAAAAGATAAAAAAAAAACTAATTTTCTTTTTTTCCTAAAAAAAAAAACTAATTTTCTTTCTTTCCTTTAAAAAAAAATTTGTTTTTGTGTATGAAAATTTGGGTTCGGAATAATTTTCATCGCTTAATCCGTGTTGAACCAATCCAAGAAATGGCAAATCAGCCCGTTCTTCAGAATATGTGTTACCCCATTAGAAATACAATTCCATCTTGCATAAGACTCCCCGAAGTAAATGGAGCAAATTTCGAGCTTAGACCGCATTTCATTAACATGCTTCCCAAATTCCTAGGTAATGAAACAGAAGATGCATATATATTTATCTCGGAATTTGACGAAGTATGTATTATGATTAAAATAAGAGAATTAACTGAAGATGCAATTAAGCTTAGATTTATTCCATTTGCTCTAAAGGACAAAGCTAAAAAATGGCTGTACAGCTTACCGACAAATTCCATCTCAACTTGGGAAGAATTTGTCACCGTTTTTCTCAAGAAATTTTTCCCTATTCACAAAACGGTAAAGCTTAGGAACAGCATTCAGAATTTCAAAATTGTCCCGGGAGAGCCATTCTGAAAATACTTTGACCGATTTAAAGATTTTTTAATCCAATGTCCTCATCACGGTCTAGAAAAGTAGCGATTGTGCCAAGTCATATATGAAGGATTGGACTATTCTTCAAAAACATCTTTAGAATCGATGTGCCAGGGAGATTTTATGAGAAAAAACGCCGATGAAGCTTGGGAATTCCTAGAGAGTCTATCCGAGAAAACAATGCAGTGGGAAAATTATGATGACAGGGTTTCATCTGTTTCCCAATCTAAGTCTAGTGGTTTTTCCCTGGAGTCAAACATTGCTTCTGAAGCGAAGATGGCGACGATTATGCGGAGGTTAGAAGCCTTAGAAGTTAAGGAACGAGCTCCGGCTCAAATCAATCATATTTCTGCCCCGGGATGTCATAACTGTCAGTCTCCTACCCACGTTTCAGAGGAATGTCCTCTTCTAGGAAACAACCATGCTTTAGAACAGATGAACGCTGCATTCCAGCGCCCTAGAAATGATCCATTTTCTCCAACCTACAATCCAGGTTGGAGAAATCATCCTAACTTTGCATGGAATCAAGGAAACTCTCCCGGAAATCAAAACTTCATTCCCGCGTCAAACCCGCAATTCCCGAGGGGAAACGCTATCCCGTTCAATGCACCGAACAATTTTTCTAACCCATCTTTTCCAAACCAACATCCTCATCCTCACCAGCCTACAAATCAATCAAATTCCGAACGTTTAAGTGTCTTAGAAAAGGGCTTAGAAGCTATGATCAAAGCTTCTACACAAACGACCAACATGTTGACCCAATCATCCACCACTCTAAATTCATTCATGCAAACCACCGGCCAAGTGCTCAACTCGAACACACAAGCCATAGCCCGGTTAGAAACCCAACTTGGGCAACTAGCCGCTGCCGTGAGTGAGAGAGAAAAAGGAAAATTCCCTAGTCAACCTGTTGCAAACCCTAAAGACACTGGATCCAGTTCCAATAATCCAGCTCAACTGAATGCAATTCACACTCTGAGATCAGGAAAACAAGTAGACAATCAAGTTAGAATGCCATCGGATCAAACCCCTTCTCCCATTCAAAACATTCCTTCCGACGAAGCAATTCCTTCCGATGACCAAAATGCTGAACTTGAGATTGAGCCTGATCTAGATAGGTATAGGCCCGTTGCCCCCTTTCCAGATAGACTCAAACCTAGGAAAAACTCCCCGCAGGTTGAGAAAATCCTAGAAACGTTTAAACAGGTCAAGATCAACATCCCTCTCCTAGACGCAATCGAACAAATCCCCTCTTATGCAAAGTTCTTGAAGGACTTATGCACTAAGAAAAGAACCACCAACGTCCCCAAGAAAGTCTTCTTAGCTGCCAACCTCAGTGAAATTTTTTCGAAACCCATGCCGTTGAAATACAAGGACCCTGGTTGTCCTACAATTCCATGCGTCATAGGTAACACTCACATTGATAAGGCACTTCTAGACTTGGGAGCCAGCGTCAACCTCCTTCCTTATTCAGTCTATCAACAGCTAGGTGTAGGAGAACTTAAACCGACAAGATGCACTCTACAGTTAGCCGATAGATCTGTAAAAATTCCCAAAGGAGAGGTAGAGGATGTTCTGATCAAAGTTGGAGAGTTTATTTTCCCTGTTGATTTTATTGTCTTGGAAACACAGCCCGTTTCCAATCTCAAAATTCAAATTCCTATCATTTTAGGAAGACCGTTCTTAGCCACCTCAAATGCTTTGATAAACTGTAGAACCGGTCAGATGAAACTATCTTTTGGGAATATGACTGTTGACCTCAATATCTTCAACCTAGGAAGGCAACCTAGTGATCCATCTGATGAACCCATGGAAGTGAATTTTATTCAGGGAATATCCAGTGAACAACAAGAGGGAGAGTGTGAGTCTGATACAAATGCATCTGATTTAATGATTAAGGAACTTTCTGATGATGAACTAGAGATAGAACCGCTAGACAATCATGTTTTTGCTGTTGGCTGACAACGAGAACCTTTAGAGATAGAACCCCGAGTCCAGCTTCGTCCATCTGTAGAGGAACCCCCTAAGTTAGAGCTCAAACCTCTACCTGAAAATCTAGAGTATGCCTACTTAGGGGAGAACGAGTCTTTACCAGTTATCATTTCTTCTGAGTTGACTACTAGTCAAAAGGAAGCTCTCTTGGCTGTTTTAAGAGAGAATAGGGAAGCCATTGGATGGACCATGGCTGATATCAAAGGGATTAGTCCAACCATTGTTCAACACCGAATCCATTTGATAGATGATGCCAAACCTACTAGAGATGCTCAACGTAGGTTAAACCCAGTGATGAAAGAAGCCGTTAGGAAAGACATTCTGAAATGTCTCGATCATGGGATCATTTATCCCATTTCTGATAGTTCATGGGTGAGTCCAGTCCAAGTTGTTCCAAAGAAATCTGGGATCACTATGATCCAAAATGTGGCTAATGAGCTGATTCCCACTCGGATCCAAACTGGATGGCGAGTCTGCATTGACTACCGAAAACTCAACTTAGCCACTCGTAAAGATCACTTCCCTCTTCCTTTCATTGATCAAATGTTAGAGCATTTAGCAGGACATGAGTTCTACTGTTTCCTAGATGGATATTCAGGTTACAATCAAATCCCTATCGCTCCTGAAGATCAGGAGAAAACCACATTCACTTGCCCGTATGGAACATTCGCATACCGACGCATGCCTTTTGGCCTGTGCAATGCACCGGCCACATTCCAACGTTGCATGATCAGTATTTTTTCCGACATGGTAGAGCGATTTCTCGAAATTTTCATGGACGATTTTTCCATTTTTGGTGACACATTTTTCCAATGTTTGCATCATCTTAAACTGGTCCTAGAATGATGTAGGGAGAAAAATCTGACTCTCAATTGGGAGAAATGTCATTTCATGGTCAAACAAGGCATTGTCTTAGGACATGTAGTTTCCAATAAGGGAATCGAAGTGGACAAAGCTAAAGTAGATCTCATTTCCAATCTCCCTCCTCCTAAAACAGTCAAAGATGTCAGATCATTTCTTGGTCATGCTGGTTTTTACCGACGTTTCATCAAGGATTTCAGTAAAATTGCTAGACCATTGACCAATCTTTTAGCCAAGGATACATCATTTGTCTTCTCGCCCGACTGCCTCAAAGCTTTCGAATATCTGAAAAAGGAGCTAACCACAGCTCCTATCATTCATGCACCGGATTGGACCTTACCATTCGAACTGATGTGTGATGCATCCGATTCTGCGATTGGAGCTATTTTAGGACAACGGTTTGATGGAAAACCGCATGTGATCTACTACGCCAGTAGGACTCTGAATGATGCCCAGCAAAACTACTCTGTCACAGAGAAAGAGTTATTACCTGTAGTCTTTGCCTTAGAAAAATTCAGGTCCTACCTCATCGGTTCTTTAACAAAAGTTTTCACAGATCATGCTGCACTAAAGTATCTTTTGACCAAAAAAGATGCTAAAGCACGGCTCATTAGATGGATTCTCCTTCTTCAAGAGTTTGACATTCAAATTCTTGACAGAAGGGGAACAGAGAACCCCGTAGCAGATCACCTCTCTCGACTCCCAAATGCACCAACATCAACCGTTCCAATCAATGAACATTTTCCAGATGAACAACTCCTAGAAATCCAATTTGTTCCCTGGTTCGCCGACATTGTGAACTACATAGTCATGAACCAGATCCCTTCTCATTGGTCCAAACAGGATAGATCCCGTTTTCTCTCCCAAGTAAAATACTTTTACTGGGATGATCCATATCTGTTCAAATACTGTCCTGATCAGATCTTTAGAAGGTGTGTTCCTACGGAAGAAACTAGGAGTGTTCTATCATTTTGTCATGAGCAAGCCTGTGGGGGCTACTTTGGTCCCAGAAAAACAGCTGAAAAAGTTCTCCAATCTGGGCTGTATTGGCCTACTCTCTTCAAGGATTCATTCGAGGAGAAAAACAGCTGAAAAAGTTCTCCAATCTGGGCTGTATTGGCCTACTCTCTTCAAGGATTCATTCGAGTTTTGCAAAACCTGTAACCGCTGTCAGCTTTTAGGGAAGGTCACTAGGAGAAATATGATGCCTTTACAACCCATCTTATCTGTTGAACTTTTTGATCTGTGGGGTATCGATTTCATGGGACCATTTCCAAATTCCTTTGGAAATGTCTACATTCTAGTAGCCGTTGAATACATGTCAAAATGGGTTGAGGCGGTAGCTTGCAAAACTAATGACAACAAGGTTGTTGTCAAGTTTTTAAAAGAGAACATTTTTGCACGGTTTGGAGTACCTCGAGCAATCATCAGTGATAACGGTACACATTTCTGTAACCGTTTTTTCGAGGCTCTGATGAGAAAATATTCAATCACACACAAATTGTCAACTCCTTATCACCCCCAAACCAATGATCAAGTAGAGGTCACAAATAGACAGATCAAACAAATCTTAGAAAAAACAGTTAACCATAACAGAAAAGATTGGTCTGTAAAATTGTGTGATGCTCTGTGGGCGTATAGAACAGCTTTTAAGGTCAATTTGGGGATGTCACCATACAGACTGATATTCTGGAAAGCTTGTCACCTACCAGTAGAATTGGAACATCGAGCAATGTGGGCAATAAAACAGTTGAATTTTGACTCAGACTCGGCAGGTAAAAACAGATTGCTCCAAATAAATGAGTTGGAAGAAATTCGGAATGATGCATACATAAACTCAAAAATTTACAAAGAGAAAACAAAAATTTTTCATGACAAATCAATTTTGCGAAAAAATTTCTCTCCAGGACAGAAATTTTATTGTACAATTCAAAATTGCATCTTTTTTCGGGAAAATTAAGATCCAGATGGACAGGTCCATTTTTTGTCAAACAAGTTTTTTCACATGGAGCTGTCAAGATAGAAAATCCTAAAAAGATGGACAGGTCCATTTTTTGTCAAACAAGTTTTTTCACATGGAGCTGTCAAGATAGAAAATCCTAAAAATGGTAACATTTTTAAAATAAATGGTCAACGTCTGAAACCATTTTTAGAATTTTCTACGCTCGGAGAGGAAGAGGTGTTGGTTCTTCATGAACCTCATTATCTGTAAAAAAAAAACTAATTTTTCTTTTGTTTCTTAAAAAAAAGTCTTTTGTTTCTTAAAAAAAACTAATTTTTCTTTTGTTTCTTAACAAAAAGGTCTTTTGTTTCTTAAAAAAAAAAAAAATTTGAATAACTAACATAGGTTAACAATAAATAAATAAATAATTACTTATAATTTTTCTATTTTGATTTCTTCATCCTTATACTAACAGTAATTGCAGATCCTTATCATCATTGTCAACCGAATAACTGTAAGTTCTTTATTTTTATCTGTTTTACTTTGTGCTTCAGCGAATTTGCATTAAGGACAATGCAAAATTTAGATGTGGGGGTGAGAAATACATATTTTCCTCTTTATTTTACCTTTTTAGTTGCTTTTTTTTCTTTCTTTTTGTTAAAAAAAAATTATAAAAATATTGTCACTTGCCAAATTAATAGAGTTAAGTAATAATTGATCAAATTGATAGATTTTAAATTTTCTAATTCTTAGTTAGTGACATATTCAAGTTCACCTTTTATGATAACTCCAAATAAAATTCTTAAGAAATGATTTTTCAACTAGTATACTTTACTTAAGTCTTACCTTGATTTACATATTTTCTTTAAAAGATAGATTTTTTTTAATTAAAAAAATAATGAAATTTTTGCATGCTTAACTTAGAGTTGAAAATATTTTTTTCAAGTCATCTTGATTTACATATTTTTTTAAAAGACTATATATACTTACACATATATATATTAAAAAAAAACTAACCTTATAAAAGAAGTGTAACAACCGTAATTTTTGGATACGTATTTAAATAATTTTTCTAGTATTTAAAATGTTAAATTTTATCTTATTAATATTTTTCCTAATTTCTGGAATTTTCTGAGTTTTCAAAATAAATAAATAATAAAATATATAGTCTTGTATTTTTAATTTTACTAAATATTAATTTACGGTTTAGTGATTTTTTTATATAATCTTTTGTTAGCTAATATTATTAGTGACCTTGTTATTATTAATGTAAACCTGAGCTTAGTATATTAGTACATATGTAAATATATAAATATTTAGCTGTTAATTATTTATTAATGTTATTATATGGTTAATTATTATTATAATAATTTTTAAAATATTATGAATAAATAAATAAATAAATATATTCCCATAATCTTTTTTCCCTAAATTTTCTCTCATTTGAATTCCTACCATAATCCCCCTAATCAATTTCCAATCAACCTTAAATCACTCCCTATGTTTTTCTCCAGCCAAAAATAAATCCTTCCATATTTCTCTCATTTCAAAATTCAAAAAAACGGCCAACCCCCTCCGCCTCAGCCGCCTGAACAACCCGCCGCTCGCCTCCGCCTCCAAGACCGCCGACGACGCCGCTCCAGCTCCGACCCCGCACCACCTGAGCACCGCCACCCATCTCCTTCCTCCACCAGCTCGACGCCCTGCACCCTCAGCCTCTATCAGATCCACCGCCTGCAACCAGCCCTTCCCGAGCTCCGCCTCCAGAACCTCTCGCCGCTGCTACCTGCAGACCCGCCGCCCCTGTCCTTGGCCGCTTCTTCCTCCTCTCAGCACCTTCAGCCTCGAGTACCACCTCTCCCCTCCTGTCCAGGTCCCAAAGAGAGACGTCCGCCAGACCCCGCCTTAAAACAGTGCTCAAACCCCTGCTCAGCTACCTCCGACCGAACGGTGACGCCGCACCGAGCTCGCCGCCTGGCCTTTTCGCGTCAGCCACCAACCCCGCACTCAACGTCGATATCGTTCGAGTCAAACCCGAGGCCCAAGATCCGCTCTCCTGTGTCTGTTTGTACCAGTGTCCCATTATTTGATATTGTATGAATATTTGCATATGTTTAATCGTGTGTCGTATTGTAATTCTGCTGGTTGTTTAGTGAATAGATATTGATTTAACATAGATGAGATATGGCAGTTAAATACTTTCAGAATAATGATATGCAATTAAGAAGAATTTAACGTTCCGGCGCAAAAGAATCAGTTTGTATAGATAGGGTGATCTGAGAGGGTAGAATGTTAAACAGATTGTACTTTTGGAAAAATAGTTTAGATTATGTCACAAAATAATTTAAAATCGAATATTCCAGCAAAGAAGATTATTTTTCTGATTATGGTATGGATGTTTTTATGATTGATAATGTCTTATTTCTCGATTATCTGGAGAACTAATTATGTCGAATTACTTACACATGGAGTGACGTGGTGGGCATTGATTGACGTTGCTCCAACCTTGTGATTGAGAATCATCTGACGGATTCATGACATAGTGGTGAGATATGCGACCACAGCGTTACCGAATCTAGAATCTCGTGTGTAAGACTTGCTGAAATTATGAGGAATCTAGGATGACAAGTTTTCGGTCCATTGCTGAGTTGCTTCGGGATTGTTTTATGCATAATGGTTCTAATTACTCGGGTCGCGATGGCTGGAAGTGTTTGTGTACCGCACTCACCGAGTGGGGGATCCGAGGACGAGGTAGCTGATATGCTGATTTTTGTTTTGATCGTATCCAGGGCTTCACGCCGGCGGTCGGCTGGTGAATCGTCTATCACCGGGCGTGGATCCGCAGCACATTGTGAGTATGTGATTCATGTTGATGTATAGGGTTCCCCAGGCTCGCGCTGGTGAAGTTTGTGTAGTCACCGGGGTGGGTCCGAGGAGTTGTGATATGTGATTGTTGACGTATATTCCAGGCTCGCACCGGTGAAGTTTGCTGTAGTCACCCGGGCGTGGGTCCTGAGGGCTGAGTATTGTGATTGTGGGTTGTTTGAGATGATTGAGTGGGATACAGTTAGCTTACATGACGTTGATTCTTGGCGTACAGCATGTTCTTGTGAGCAGTAAGTAGGCTAGTTGGTTTCTTTCCATAGCATAGATCCAGGCGTTAATATAATTTATTTAACATCGATGACATTATGGATATCATCGACGGGGTTTCCTTGTTGGGATTCATTGTCGCTCGACGTACTACGTCTTATTTAGATTTTTTAAACTATTAATTCCATCTATTGGGATGGGATCTTGTTGCTTTGGTTGGTTCTGATACGTAGCTGCATGTTTCATTACCCGATTGATTTTACGGATTCTTAGCTGGTGTATCATGTGGCATTGCATGTTGATTTTGTGTAGATTACCAGCTTGCACGTCCTTCTTGTTATTTCGGTTTTGTATCGTTTTCCGCTTGTTTTTCGATCAATTCTAATGTCTTGGGCGGGTCTTGCCGTCGCATGCACTGACGTACACACATTTTTTCTCTGTGTACGTCAGACTATTATAGAGGAGAACAGGTTCAGCAGACTCAGAGGATTCTCAACAGGAGTAACCTGTAGACGAACGGAAGACGAAGCCTATCTCACATAGCTGATGGTTCTTTTTGTAGTTTTTCATCTCGCTGATCAGAAGATTTTTATCTCTCTAGTATGATTCATTTGTTCACATATGTATAGTGACATGATATCCGAACATTTATTCTTGGATGATATTCATTTGTGATATGTATCTTTTTATTTTGAGTTTGTCTATTATATTCTTGCTATGTGTGATCGGGGACCTGTGACTTTGTATTGTACTTATTTCCAAACGCTTAGCGTATTAGATTGAGAAGACGGGGTCTAGCACTTATCTCTTCTCAGTCTAATACGTCGCGGGCTTGCTCGCGTCCCGATTCCCTGGTATTTTGGGAAGCGGGGCGTGACAAGAAGAGTGCGAAAAATAGGCACCACCAAAAAAAAAAAAAACTCTTAAATTCAAGGTGATTTATCTTATAAAGCCTAAGTTGACTGAGCAATTAAGCCCAAAGAGTATCTCTATACTTAATGACCTAAGCCCAATTGGGTTGGGATTCATTGGCCCAAAACTCGTTAAATGGTCACTTAGAAAGCCCGTTAAAATAGAAAACAATCACCAAGAATTAGAGAGTGGAAAAAAAATATATATAACACTAACCATTGTTTTTATATATATTGTTGTTTTGTATATATGGTCTTGAAAAATAATTTTTGATCAAGAGACTTGAAAGTTATTTAAAACAAAGAGTTGGCATGTTCTTTTCAAAAATTTTTAATTAAATTTCTAAGATTTGACTTGGTTTTGTATTGCTATAACGAAAAAGATTTTCTAGGGGATTTACATTAGAGTTATATATAAAAACGTTTTCTTGATTATTAACTAGCT